ACAAAGTCCTGTTTTAGGGGTACTTATGGCATGATATTGGAGAGACATATAAAGTAAATTATGTCAGGTAGTGACAAGTGTTGTGAAATAAGAAAATAAAAAATAAATGAAGCCAGGCAAGGAATGGAGTAGATCCAACATCCAACTAATATAGTTTTAGAAAGTGATAATAGAAAGTGAAGGGGATAAATCTGAGAGGAGGACACATTAATAGGGTGTTCAACAACAGCCTTCTTTGAGAAGCCAATAATTATGCAGGAAGGATTAGAAAGCGAGCTGTCTGGCTATCTGGGGAAGAACATTTCAGGCAGTGGGAATAACAAGTGCAAAGACTCTGAGTTGGGTAACTGTTTGCCCTTTTGAAGAAAGACCAAGTAGGCCAGTGTGGCTAGGTCAGAGTCAGTAAGGCAGAGAGGGTAGATAAGATCTGAGACCAGATTTGGTAGGTGAGCTTGTGGGGGTTTACTCTGAATGATATGGAATGCTAATAAAGGGTTTTGCGTAGAAAAAAATGACACGATGTGATTTCCATTTTTTAAGGATCAGTCTGACTTCTGTAGAGAATATACTATGAGAAGGCAAGGGTAGAAGCAGAGAGACCAAGTAAAAATCAAGGTGAGAGGTGATGGTGGCTTGGTCCAGGGTGGTACTTGTGGAAGTGGGAACAACTGGCAGGATTATGGATATATTTTAACACTTTACTATTGGACTGAATGTGAGTTATGAGAGAAGAGAAGAAACAATGGTAACTGCAAGATTATTGGCCTGAGAATAGATAAAGTAGAATTATCATTTACTGCTATTATAAGAGCAGGTTTGGGGCATTCAGTATATAATACTAGGTTTGCCTTCTGACCACCTGTGTCACTGTCAAATGGACTGCTTGTTAAACGTGCAGTATTCCTGAGTCCCTTAGGTCTGGCTCAGACCTATGACCTAGGAAATTTACATTTCTAATAAACACTCCATGAAATTCATATTCACTTTGTGTTTTAGAACCACTGTAGTAGAATGTATAAAATCGAAAAATTAATAAATGTAATCTGGATATAAACAAAATATCAAGTTTTTAAAACTATTATAGAAATATTTAAAGATAAAAATTAAAATCACTCTTGTAAAGGCAAATCAGCAAACTTTATCATTCTAAGTCATATGTATACATTGAGATTCAATATTTTAAATTAGTAATTTATGATATTTTCTTTCAAAAAGTGGTACAGTTTCTACGTCAGTTTATTTGTCAATATAGATGTCAGGTTCAATACCTTCTATCACAATTAGTGTTTTCAAACTTTTAGGTAGCTTTTAGTGAATCATTGCTGCAGAGCTCCAAATGGTACTTCAGGCCTTTAATTAAAAAAAAAAAAGAAGAAGTTCGTGATGATTACTAGCTGATAACTTATTCCAAGAGACTCTCTAATCAAGGTTAACAGACTGCTATGCACACATGCACACTTAGGGGTATATAAACATACTATTCAGAATTACTTCACAATGGTGAGTTCTACTCCTGGTTTCTTAGATAAAGGATTGGGAAATAGAAATTAATATGAAAATATATATTAATCCCAGGGATGCAAAAAGAGTTCAAGTAGTTTATATTATTTTGTTCATTTTAAAATGCATGCAGTTTACATAAGATCTTTCTGTTAGGCACCTTAGAGATGAAAAGAAAATTTAAACTCAGGTCACCTTTGGCAGTGGAGGTTCTTGGAAAGGACATGCCAAGATGTAAGGTAGCCCAAGAGTTTATCTTCTGAGTCATAGAGTTATTCTGGGTTTGTCAAGACTGGGAAGTATAGCAGGCCAGGTCTCATGGAAAATTGGAGTCATGCCTAAATTCTCTTTGTTCACAAGGCATCTTACTTTCTAAGAGGGAGAGAATGTGATTAGGTCCATACATTACCATTCAAAATGGAATGCTGAAGTTGGTTAGATTTTTTTTCTACACTAATTCACAGGAGGTCAGCCTCCTTTTGTCCAGTTTTTTCAGAGGTCCCAACATTTGTAGACCAGGATAAATAAGACGGGTTTCACTCAAATTCAGAACAAGCCATTGCAACTCAAGGCAGTTTTCCTAAGAAGGGTAGTCAGTATTTAGCATTTTACAGACGCATGGCTGAAACAGAAGAGGCCCTGGAAGATAAATTATTTGAAGTCTCCTTGCATACTTAGACAAAAATGTTTCTTGACTCAAAAAACTGCATGATATAACTCTTGGCAAACTCATTTAGTTTATAGTCTATGACTGCTTAGGAGTATAAAAATCCTTGAAGATCTGAAATTAGTATTGATTGTATTCAGTAACCAATTGCAATGTCTTGGATTGCAGGTTTACAATTCCATCTTGATAATATTAACACCTTCGATTTCTCTACCTCTTTATTAGGTTCAGTAGGTCACTCTATATGAGTACTAGTGTCATAAGTCATGAATAAGCATTTGAAACCAAAACCTTTAATCAAAAAATGTCCTAAAATTTTTAATACATCTGTAAGCATGTACAGTTGGGGCAAAAGTAGGTTTACAGTTGTGAGTACTCGAAACAGTGTATTCTTGTATTATTATTGATTAGTTATTGTATCATTTTTCATAAAAACAACTGTAAACCTACTTTTGCCCAACTCTGTATTTATTCAAGTACTCATTTTGTTTGGAAAAGCAGCTTGGCAAATTGGAGTAAGGCTTAAATCAGGGGATCTTGGACTAGGACTTGGTAGGACTATAGAAAGTTGGGCATATCAATTAACCTCTTAAGCCTTCTGATTTTTATTCTATAAAATGTAGAAGATACACCACTATGCCTACTTTTATTTTCTGTATATACCTCTTATCTCTAATTTTTACCCTAATAAGTAAAAATAAACATTTTTCGTTTTAGCATTTAATGTCTTCTTTTTCTTTACTTCAACCCTAATTGCAAAGGGCAGTAGTCACATTTGCAAAAAAAAAAACCTTAATTGTATGTGTATGGATTTTTTGGCATTGTGTAAAATGTGATTCAGCAATCAAGGCCTGGGGAGCCCAGTGAGCACCTGTCTGACTAGAATTGGGAGTTGGTTAGGGGGAGGAGTTAGAGTTAGAATTACAGAGTAATACAGGCAAATTATGGAAGGCCTTGAATGTCGGATTTAGGAATGTGATGTTCATTTTATGGGCAGTAGGAAGTCATTTTATATTGGAACTAGAGGCCTCGTGCACGAATTCGTGCATGGGACGGGTCCCTTGGCCTGACTAGCAATCGGGGCCAATTGGGGCCAAGGGAGGTTGGCTGGTGGGGGGAGGGACTGCAGGAGGTTGGCCCGCTGTGGGAGGTTGGCTGTGGGAGCTCCTGCATTGAGCACCTGCCCCCTGGTGGTCAGTGCACATCATAGTGACCGGTCAATTGGTCGTTCAATCATTGGGTTGTGTAAGCTTTTATATATAGAGATGGCTTAGTGAAAATTGAATCTTAGAAAGTTAATCTGACAGAGTTATGAAGACTAGAATGTAATGGGAAAGAATGAAGCTGACATACCAGCTTGGAGTCTTCTAAAATTTTCAAAATATGAGATAATGAGAGTCTAATCTTTTATGTTGGCCATGGAACAGAAAAAGCTGGGAAGGAGTCAAGAGACTTTGGGAATGAAAGGATGTGTGCCTGATAAATATGCTGGACAAGATAGAAAGAAATACAAGATGTTTCCAGAATCTCAAGTTGAGGAGACTGGAAGAAAGTCATTAACTGAAATAGAGTTTGGAAGTATTGCTACTGGAGGGAAGATCTTGAGCACAGTTTTAGGCAGTTTGCATGGCAAGTGATGGTGGGAAATGCTCAATGGAAATGGTAGCTGGCAATGTCTTCTAATCAGGGAAGCAAAGCCATGAAAATGGACAAAGTGGTGAAACAACTTAGCAGATAATTATTCTATCTTGTTTAGCAGAAAAATCATAGGTGAAAGTTTTCACCTAATAATTTTGGTCTAGGTTACAATAACATAGTTTTATTACCATAGGGCCATGTTTCTAGATCCTCAATATATCATCCTAGACTTAGAAAATTTAAAAGAAGCAATCAAAATCCTTGGTATATCAGTTACACAATAAATATTAGGAAGAGCCACACTCAAGGGGCCAAAGAGCCGCATGTAGCTCTCAAGCCGTAGTTTGCCGACTACAGTCCTATGCAATCACAACCTACAAACATAATCCCTTAATCCAGGCAGTATTTAAATTACTGCTCTATTAGAAACTTAGTTCTAGTCCTAGTTTTATTCTTAGCTTGGAGGATGACAGAATAAATCACTATTTCTTTAATTATCTCAGTTCTTTTATTCCTATGATAAAATGTCTAATCTCACCCACTTCCCAACTCAAGTTAAGATAACAAAACAATGTAGTATACTTGGGTACTACAAGCTGGCACAATTATGTGTGCATTATGGAGTTCGAGAACAAAAAATCTTCAAATCTAAGAATTTCTAAATCAGGGCTACTTAAAACTAGTCTTCAGTTTGTGGTACACTTGAGATCTTTCTTCCTTTTCATTTTTTAACCCCAATTTTCTCTTAACACCCTTTCTATGATTGAACTCAAACCTTATTTTAGTTCACATTTGGTAGTTTTTCAGTCCAACCTAGCTCAAAACAAAGGAGAAACATCATCAACCTGAGACATTAAAATGTGTAGTTCAGCCCTAGCCAGTTTGGCTCAGTGGATAGAACGTTGGCCTGTAGACTGAAGGGTCCCAGGTTTGATTCTGGCCAAGGGCACATGACCAGGTTTCAGGCTAGATCCCCAGTAGGTGGCCTGCAGGAGGCAGCCAATCAATGATGCTCTCTCATCATTGATATTTCTATCTCTCTCTACCTCTTCCTTCCACTCTGAAATCAATAAAGAAATATATTTTTTAAAAATGTGTAGTTCACCCCAAGAAAGGGTGGGGAGAAAAGAGGAAGTATTGAGAGAACATAAAAGAAAAAGGAAAGAGTAATGCTTAATTTGTTACATTGGTTCAGTTTAACTTAACAAGAGTTTATTGGGTGCGAAGGACTGTGCGAGTCATTTTAGTAATGCCAAGATGAGAAAAAAAGTCTCCGGTATCAAGGAGCTGGGAGTATGAGGTGAACTAAAAAGTGCACAAATGATTAAAATATCATGCAGATACCTAAAGAAAATACAAAGAGAAAGAAAACGGACATTAATTGAGGACGTTTTAATACACCGGTGGCAGTCACATATGTCAACTCATATGTATTAACAACCCTTCCCATACTTCCAAGTAAACTCAGGAAGGACGCGTAACTTGCTCAAGGTCATTCAAGCTAGAAAGTCAGTGTACACCGGCTTTGTCACCAAGCAAGGTCCCAAGCCTCGGCTCCTTCCATTGCTAAGGGGACCTCCAAGGAGGAGGGGGGAGGGCTGTACCTTGTGATGTTACTCACAGTTGTGTGGAGGGAACAGAGATCAGGAAAGTTATGCGGGGCGGAATGTGAGCTGAACCTTGAAGGACGAATGGGAGATTGGGGAGACGGACTTCCAGCTGAAGAAGTGATGAGCCCCCTAGGGAGGTTCGAGCACCAACCTAGGAGCCGGGAGGTCCCGCCGGGACTCGTGCGCAGGCCCCGCCCCCTCCCGGGGACGCGCCGGAGGCAGCCGGTCAGTGATTCTCATCGTTGACTTTCTGTCTCTTCCTCTCTGAAATCAATAAAAAAATTTTTTTTTAAAAGAAGAAGAAGTGATGAGAGCTGCTGGCTACTCTCAATTCTTCCAGTCGGGGAGTTAATCCACGTTGAAAACTGAGTTCCCTCGGGTCCCTTCCTCCCACCCCTAATCTTTTCCTTTGGGGTTTCTGTGTCACCGATTTCACCGTTAGGCATCTGTTATTTTTATAACTATTATTTCCTCCCATTCTGCAGCGGTTTTCTCCCTTTTTATTGGATTTACCGAGGTGATACTTGTACACTGTATTGTGTGTTCACCGTCCATCACCGGGCCTGTTATTTTTTGTAACTTGAAAAATCTCCGTGTCTTAAAAGCGACCAGAGTCCCTGGGACGCGGGGTGGGGTCCGCGTGCGCCCGGACACACCCCCTCTCCCACCTCCGCAGCCGGGCC